GAAAAACTGCATTCGGAATTAGAACTGAAATTCCTCCATTAGGCCCGTGTAACATGGTTTCTGTGGAAGTGGAAGGAGTGCGAGTCGATGCTTTGGTGGACACAGGTGCGACATTGTCTGTGATACGTGCTGATTTGTGTGAACATTTAAGGAAAGTAATGACGCCTTACGATGGTCCCACGTTAGTTGCTGCCCAGGGGAACATCATTCGCCCTTCCGCGCTTTGTACTGTGCGTGTTTTCATCGACGGCATCCGCCATCATGTCCAGTTTGCTGTCCTGTCCCGCTGCTCTCACCAACTAATTTTAGGGTGGGATTTTCTATCATCTGCTTCCGCGGCGATTTGTTGTGGACAACGCGTCGTTCACCTCGCTGACACCGACTACATGCTTGACGACGATAATCAGAAGCCACTTCGTCTGGTCGCTGCGAAAGACATCGAACTCCCGCCACTACAAGAGCAAATTGTCACCATTACGTCCAACGGCATCTATCACGGGGATGTATTGGTCTCACCGTCACCACTTTGCGTTCGCAAAGGTATAGTTCTTCCGTCCGGTGTCGTTCGTTTTTGCAATGGCTCGGCACTTGTCACCGCTGTCAACTCTACACCGGAGAAGATCTTACTGCCACAGGGCACTACTGTGGCCCGTGTTGCTGACTTCGAGCCTGTACTCGTCACGCCACTTCAGGCCATCGCATCTAAAGAACCTTGCCTCGGTGAGCATGTTTCTTCCTCCGCCTTTACCACCACTATCAGCAGCGAATTGACATATTCACCGAGGCAGCAGTTGCTCGCATTGTTACAGAAACATGCAAATTCTTTCGATATTTGCTCGTCTAAGCTGGGCCGCACTAATACTACAGCACATCGAATTCAAACTGTTGGGACATCTATTGTACACCGCCGACCCTACCGCGTGTCTCTAACTGAAAGAAAAATTATAGAAGAAAACGTTGCGGACATGCTTAAACGGGAAGTCATCCGTCCCTCATCTAGCCCTTGGTCATCTCCTATTGTTTTGGTCCATAAAAAGGATGGCTCTGTGCGGTTTTGCGTGGACTACCGGGCGCTCAATAAGATCACACGCAAGGACGTGTACCCTATGCCACGCATTGACGACGCCCTTGATTCCCTACAAGGCGCGGAATTCTTTTCAAGCATCGACTTGCGTTCTGGGTACTGGCAGATCCCCATGCATGTAGACGATAATGAGAAAACGGCATTCGCAACCCCCGACGGGCTATATGAATTAAACGTGATGCCTTTCGGGCTCTGCAACGCACCCGCGACTTTTGAGCGCATGATAGATACCGTGCTGCGTGGCCTGAAATGGAAAAGTTGCCTTTGCTACCTGGACGACATTATTATCTTTTCGTCAACGTTTCCTGAGCCCCTAGAACGATTGGATCAAGTTTTGACGTGCCTTGCCGGCGCCGGGCTTCAAATAAACACGAAGAAATGCTCTTTCGCTAGCAAATCTATCAAGGTCTTAGGACACGTCGTTAGCAAAGATGGCATCCGGCCCGACCCTGACAAGATTTCTGCAGTTCTTCACTTTCCGCGCCCCGAAAAACCAAAGGAGCTTCGCAGTTTTCTTGGCCTTGCCTCGTATTTTCGCCGGTTTATCCAGAACTTCGCTTCGATTGCTGCTCCATTACACCAACTACTTGCTTCCAACGTCCCCTTTCTGTGGTCTCAAGAATGCCAAACAGCATTCGACCTGTTGAAGCGGGCACTCACGTCTGAACCTCTGCTCTGCCACTTTGACGAAGCCGCACCAACTATCCTCCATACCGACGCTAGCGGCCTTGGTATAGGAGCCGTACTTCTACAACGCGACAAGTCTTCCCTAGAGAAAGTTATTGCATATGCCAGTCGCGTACTCACCGCTGCTGAAAAGAACTACACTATAACTGAGCAAGAGTGTTTGGCTGTGGTTTGGTCGGTTCAGAAGTTCCGTCCCTATCTCCACGGGCGTCACTTCACAATCGTTACGGACCACCATGCCTTATGCTGGCTTTCTACACTGAAGAACTTGTCCGGACGCTTGGGTCGGTGGATACTACGCTTGCAGGAGTACGACTTTGATATAACTTACAAGTCAGGCAGAAAACATCAAGACGCCGATGCTTTATCTCGTTGCCCGCTTCCAACTACCCATATGAGCGTTGGTGAGAACTCAACCACCACATCTACCAAAGTTCATACGCTCGCATCAATAACGCAACCCTTTTCGGATGACGAGCCAACATTTATCTCCCGCCAGCGGTCCGATTCATACTGCAGACGCATCATGGACCACCTTTCGGGAGTTTCTCATCCACCAAACGCGCGACTCCGTCGTCAACTCCTGCACTTTAGGCTGGACAATGGGGTTCTCCACCGCCACGTCTACCACCCTGACGGTCAGCGCTGGGTTCCTGTACTGCCACGCTCTCTCCGACTTCAGGTGCTCGAAGCCTTCCACGACGACTTGACTGCTGGTCATCTTGGTTTTAAAAAAACTCTTGACCGCATTCGATGTCGTTATTACTGGCCTGGCCTTTCTTCTAGTGTAGCTCGGTACGTCGGTTCCTGCTACCCATGCCAGCGTCGTAAACTCCCCACGTCGGCACCTGCTGGACCTCTACAGCCACTTCCGTGCCCTTCAATGCCGTTCGAGGTTGTAGGTGTTGACCTTTACGGGCCTCTCCCCGTCACATCTGCTGGCAAACGATGGATAGTGACTGCCGTGGACCACCTGACACGCTACGCTGAGACTTCCTCTGTTATTACAGGCTCAGCTGTGGAAGTTGCAGACTTTATTCTTCACGCAATAATATTGCGTCATGGGGCTCCTCGTGTACTGCTTAGTGACCGCGGCAAAGTGTTCCTGTCACAAGTTGTAAATGAAGTACTGCGCGCATCTGGAACTACTCACAAGACAGCTTCAAGCTACCACCCTCAGACAAATGGTCTCACAGAAAGATTTCACCGAACCCTTGCAGACATGATAGCCGTTTACGTCCAACCCGACCACAAAAACTGGGACACTCTTTTACCATTCCTGACATTCGCTTACAACACCGCCGTTCAGCGAACAACTTGCTACTCACCGTTTTACCTCGTGTACGGACACACCCCGACTACCTTTCTCGACGTCTCCTTCTTTAGCAGCCATGGGAATTCATGTCAGTCTTCTAGCGAAGAATACATTTCCCGCCTGGCCCAGTCTCGCCATCAGGCTCGCATCAATACTGAAGCGAGACAGCACGAGCGGAAGATCATCTATGACGAATCCCACCGCGTTGTGTCTTTCCAACCTGGTGACGAGGTGCTGCTTTTGACACCTATTCGCACTCCTGGTCTCTGTGACAAATTCCAACCACGCTTCATCGGGCCATACATTGTTTTAGAACAGACTTCGCCGGATAATTATCGTGTGACACCACTCGTCGCCCCAACAGACCGCCGCTACCGCAGCACAGAGATTGTACACGTTTGTCGCATGAAACCTTTCACGCGACGTTCCCCATCACTTTGACTTACGGCGGCCAGGGTGTCCGCTTTCAAGTGGGGGAATTAGTGTGGGCATTTGTAACTTACATCGTCCTCATCCCTGCATAATCACAATCACCATCATCCGCTTGTCTCTTTGCCCTCATTGCCACTCTGGTTCATCATCATCGTCATCGTCCGTTCGTTTTGCGAGGTCTTTCCTCAAATAAACGCTGTCGCAGCCAAGACTACCAAGACTTCATACATATATATATATATATATATATATATATATATATATATATATATATATATATATATATATATATATATATATATATATATATATATATATGAGATCTAACAGTCAATAATGCCAAGGAATGGGCCCCGCCGCGGTGGTCTAGTGGCTAAGGTACTCGGCTGCTATCCCGCAGGTCGCGGGTTCGAATCCCGGCTGCGGCGGCTGCATTTCCGATGGAGGCGGAAATGTAGTAGGCCCGTGTACTCAGATTTGGGTGCACGTTAAAGAACCCCAGGTGGTCGAAATCTCCGGAGCCCTCCACTACGGCGTCTCTCATAATCATATGGTGGTTTTGGGACGTTAAACCCCACATATCAATCAATCAATGCCAAGGAATGTGTAGGGGAGGTTATTAGAACCGATGTAATGTAAATAAGAAGGAAGAAAAGTGGGTAAAAAGATAACTTGCCGTGAGCAGGCAAGTTATTCCTGCTCACGACGAGTTATTTTTTCAGCCACTTTTCTGTCTTCTCATTTACATTACATTGGTTCTAATAACTTCCTCTGTACATTCCATGGCACTATTGTCTGTTGGATCTCAATATTATTGTGTCAAAACACGGAAAAACCAGCCCTAAGGTATACATTTCTATCGCATATATATATATATATATATATATATATATATATATATATATATATATATATATATATATATATATATATATATATATATATATATCGTGCCCGAGCAAGCTTCTGGAAGATATCACATCACATAGCATCTTGCATTGCGCTCATCAGTTATCACAGACCTTGCAACACCAGTAGAAGCGAGTGCGTCCGGGATACCGGAGCGCACTGCCCGCGCGAACACCTGGAGTGCCACCCTAAATATATCACATGGCATGATTTAATACATGCGTGTGTGTTTTTGGTAATCGAGTGTGAATTAGTCTCTAAATTGCCGCGATTTGTGGCACTGTTCCTGTGTACCTTAGAGACTTTTACTAACGTATGGGTTACACTTGGGTTACACTTGTATGGTATACACTTGGATTCTGAATACGTAGAGAGAATAGCTTTTCGCGCACTGCACGGTGACTGTAGAGCAAATTTTGATGAATGAATGAATGAATGAATGAATGAATGAATGAATGAATGAATGAATGAATGAATGAATGAATGAATTAAACCAATGTGTTATGTCAGCTTGGAAAAGCAACACCCGTGTCGCTGTCCGAGCGCGGATTTCGTAAAAATGCGGCACCTCACCGATGGTGGTGATGACGGTGAGCGAGTAGAGGAAAGCCCCGGAGAAAGACCACTGCTGCTCGCGGCCGGACTCCTTGCCGTCGTAGCCGTCTTTAACGGCGGCCACCAGCCTGAGCTGGAAGTCGCGGATGTGTTCGTTGACAGCGAATGTCCAGTTATCCTTGTATAGCACGTTCAGCTCCGCCGTCACCTCCCACAGCCGACTGACGGTCTGCTCGCGCAGGGCGCGAACCTGGCTCGCCTTGCGCACCTCATACGGCCCTTCGAGGGCGCGGAAGGCGAACGCACCGAGCACACTGTAGCCCACCACGAGTGCGCACAGACCCACGTGCGAGAAGAGGAACGCGGCGAACTTGCGGCAGCACGAACGGCACTTGTTTTCCCCGGACGCCGAGGCTGCGGCTAACCTGCGCTGCCGTCGCACCACGCTGCCGCCACGGCGCGACGGCGACCTGTCCAGGGGCATCGCGGCCCCCACTACGAGAGCGAAAGGCAGCGGCCACGGTAGAAAGTAGTACATTCACTTAGAAACATGCGGCAGACCGCCGGCGTCAGCGGCATTTGCTCGAGATGAGGACCACAAAAGAAGGCCGCTCGGAGGCCAACGCTGCAGCGGGGACCCGCTCCCGATGAACGAATGCCGAAGCCGGCCTCACTCGCGCACACTTTGGGAGGGGGGAATGAACACGACGCGGGCGCAACCAACTGCGGGGAGAGGTCACTGTGTGCGGATTATAACAGCAGTAAAGAGGAGCAACGCGGTACTTCACCCAAAACCGACTTTTCTTGTTCTTTTTCGTCTTTGACGCAGCGCTAAGGCCGAGTGAAGCGCTGCTAGCGTCTGGAGCGGCGGAAGAAGAGGCTATCCGGTCTCGTCGATAGGTGGCGCTGCCACTTGCTGGTGAGCGCCCAAGGCGGGCACTTGCGTGCTAACTTGCAGTACGAAAACTTGTTTGAAGCGTGGGTCTTGTATTTTCTTTGCGACACTTTTTTCCCACAGTGAAGTTGTATAAGCCCACACGAAACGAAAGTTCCCCGTCTTACGAGCGCAAACACTCTTGGCGCCTATGAGCAACAACTATTACTACATATTCACCTACACACTGCGGGTGCTCTACAAAAAAATATGAACCACATGGGAGTCCAGCATCAATCAAGCTTTCTTTAAAGTTGTAACCTATGGGCGCATACAACACTGCAGCGCAAAGCACGCTGACGCGTGGAGCGAAACCGAAGCCATCGTGGGTGCACAGCGCTACACCATTACATTTTTTTTTTCTTTTTTTTCACTTGAGTTTTGCGTTGACTTTATATTGAATTGTGCAGTCGCGCCTCTGAAATAGTTGCTGGGGGCAGTTTTTGGTCGTTTAAAAACCATTCATCGTTTCTATTAGCGGCATTAAATCGGTCGATCAATCGATTAATTCCGATCCTCATTTATGATTATTATTAGGGAAGTGCTTTTATCGTAAAAATCGAAAAAATGGTGGTCCAGGCATTCATGTAACTGTCTATATATATATATATATATATATATATATATATATATATATATATATATATATATATATATGTATGTGTATGTGTATGTGTGTACACGCAATTTCTATGCATAGCATTGTTTTCATATATATAGTATTTTGTATTCTGTCATATTTTGCATTGTACTTCGGAATTTGTGCCGAAAGAAACTACTTACGCATATCAGTCTCTGTACATAGCATTACTGTACGTGCATCTTCCTACTTGTACTGCGCCAAACATCTCATGGCCTATGTTCATTGCCTATATGTTCATGGCCTATGTTTCTTCTCCCACGTCCACGTTGCTTGCCATGTACTAGGGAGGCTCGGGTTCTCCTCAAGTGACAAAACATCACTTTTCTCCCGAGCCTGCCCTCATCCTTGGGATGAAATTGAATTGAATTGAATTGAATTGAAATGATCTCTGACGCCCCGAGCGCCTAGTGCACAAAATTCCAAGAAACGGCCGCCCCAATCCTTCAGTTCCTCGCCATTTTCTTGCTTACGAAAGCTGTACTCACCGTAAGAATGGTACCTTAAGAGATCTTAAATTGGTTGCTACACTAAAAATTAATGTTTGACTGATGGCTCTCAAGCTGAGTAAACGGAAACTCATGTGCTTTTCTTGCCGCCGCAATCCATCTCGCTTTCACTATTTGATAAGCAATTTATTGATGAATTGACCACAATCACAAAAATGTGCAGCACTAAAACTGCTTCCCCATTCCAAATCCAAATCAAAATCCGATTTTATTTTCGCATTCCTCAATGCACAATACAGTGCAATGTTCATGCGAAATAAGGGAATGAGGGAAAAAAACTGCACTTGTGCAGCTTGACTAGGCTCTGGTCCCCTGTACAGCAGGAGGGACACAACGTAACATATTGGTGGCAAAATAGTATTGTCTACAATGTTGTAACAAAAATAGCAAACCCATTAACAACAAAATAAACTGTATATAATAAAAAATAGAACGTTAGAAATTACTGATAAAATACTCAAGCAAAAGGCTACTGCTAAAGTAACTACTCCTAAAAACTACTAAGGAACATATAGGTTGCTCCATACGTTCATCTAAAGACATAAATTACAAAAATAGATCCAAGTTCTTTTTAGCACGGTAAAAGCATCAACATTTTTTGGTATAGTTCATTTAGGGTGAATGTGAGTACATGATCAACTTTTTTTCCCCATAATGAGTACGCGCGAAAGAGTGATACCTTAAAGGAAAGAAATATTTATTTGCTCGAAGATTTGCTGTTACTTCAAACATTTATATTCTTTCTAATATAGGATTTTCTATGTGCTTAGTACTTTATGTTTGTGTAAGTTGGGAATCTTTATAATTTTATGTTTATACAACAACTGGTCTCTCTGTGCCAGATACGGGGAGTTTTCAATTGAACTTATCGGTTGTTGTTGTTGTTTTTTTTTTTTTTGACGTCGAATATTGCTGTAAGAGGCAGTAGGATTGGACTTGTTGGTATAACATGATAGAGAGTGCTTAACAGCACCAACGACAGGAGGGGATCGAAGAGACGAGGTCTCCTCCTGTCGTTTGCGCTTTTAAGCACTCTTTATTTGCGGTCAGTTTGATAAGGTCGTGTTTCCCCATATTAGTCTACAATATTATAAGTGTGAGCTCAAAAGCGTAAAATACAGCATTCTTGTTATGCTTAGGGAAGAAACATGTGATCGTCGCGATTTAGTAAGCCGGCTTCTCTGCTTAATTTCAGCAATACAACTTTCGCATGGTCATTCCAGGACATATTTCTGGAAATATTACTTCAGGAATTTTAATTCGTTTCTCAATTTTTATTTGAAATGGCCGAACAGTTAAGAAGTCATCGATGTTTTCTAAAATGCCCGGGGCACGGAGCAACACAACTTTATTTTTCGATTCATTTAGAATAAACCCATTTTTCTTACACCAGGTAACCAAATCATAGTTCTGACAGAATGTATTATTCCTTCATGTGATGGTCTCCAAGTCTCTTCCTTCAATAAGTACTGAACAATCATCGGCATATAGTATATACTTACAATCATCATAAATTTTACCAATGTCATCATTATATAAAAGGAAGACAATTTTTCCCAGTATGCCACCCTAGGGGACAACAAATTCAATAGGCCTCAGGTGGGATTTATATGTAATAAATGCAAGGCATTTCTTAACGATCTTCGGCGACTTTGAGCGTATCTATCTATCTAGCAGCCTACGACTTTTAGCTCTCCAGGCCGTTTCTATAATGGTATCAATACCAAACTTGGTATGGCATAACATGACTGTATGAACAACATATTCGACTTGTCATAACATGAAAATCATGACATGTGTGTCATGAATGCCATGATTTACATTTCATGGTTCTGCACTCTTGCGGTGGTTTCGTTCACATGGCATGTTGAAAAACTGGTATCGTATGGCCTGATTTCATGGCGAACACAAGCGATAGAGCCTAGCATAAAAATCATAACATGGGAGTTATGTAACAGCCCCGCCGCGGTGGTCTAGTGGCTAAGGTACTCGGCTGCTGACCCGCAGGGCGCGGGTTCGAATCCCGGCTGCGGCGGCTGCATTTCCGATGGAGGCGGAAATGTTGTAGGCCCGTGTACTCAGATTTGGGTGCACGTTAAAGAACCCCAGGTGGTCTAAATTTCCGGAGCCCTCCACTACGGCGTCTCTCATAATCATATAGTGGTTTTGGGACGTTAAACCCCACATATCAATCAATCAATGGGTGTTATGTAACATGATGACTACATACCATGCTTATGATGTGGTCGCGGCCGTTTCGCTAGCGTCACATATACCAAATATGGTATTACAGTACGAGAATGAATGACGAAGGTATGTGTGACTGGTGCAAACATGATAATCATGAGATGCCTGTCATGTAACAACATGACTACATGCCACGCTCACGATGAGCTAGCGGCCATTTCGCTACCTTCACATATACCAAACTTGGTATTACGGGACTTGAATGGATGACGAAGGTATGATACTGTTTCAAACATGATAAACATGAGATGCGTATCATGTAACAACAAGACTACATCCTACGCTCATGATGCGCTCGCGGCCGTTTTACTCGCTTCACATGTACTAAACTCGGTATTACGTGACGCGAACGGACGACAATGGCACCGCACACTGACCAGAGCGAGCTGCGTTGCTCACACTGCACCGTCTCAAAGTCTAGGACATTCGCCGTTAGGGGCATGCTGAAAATGTACGCGTGCTCGCGTCCACCATGTATCCCGGCCGCAATCCACTGACAGATGCAGGGCGCGAGACGCGCGCGTCACATTCCATTTTCACCGAAGCTGTCTCATGGTTGCTTTTTTTTTTATCCGCTAGGCTGTGTATTGTGGCACTGCAGTCAGACCAGAAAACTCGACTGAATGGTGCCTATAGGTAAATGACACATCCAAACATGATAATCACGACATGCGTGCCATGTAACAGCATGACTACATGTCACACTCATGATGCACTCGCGTTCGATTCGCTAGCTTCACATAGGTCAAATTTGGTATTGCGTGACGCCAATGGATGACCAAGGTCTGTGACTGGAGCAAACATGATAATGATGAGATTCATATCAAGTGAGAACATAACTACATGCCACAGTCAAGGATCCAATACACGTCGACGTGACGTAGCGCGCGTGCTCGCCGGCGTTCATTTAGTCGCGTCACGCCGGTGTTGCGACGCCAGGCGCCGGTCCTGCCGTATACTCGCAGGCGCGTGCCGCCCTGCGTTTCTTTGACGCATGCGCGTTTCAGCGCATCCGGCGTCCCTCCTTCACAAAAAGAGCGAGACGCAGTGTTGTCTGGGTAATGCATCGGCACAAAATGCAACATGTCGCATTTTGCGCCGGTGGCCGTCGGGCCGTGCAGACAGACGCTGGTCGCGCCTGGCGTCAGAGTGCTCGCGTTTTGCTAGCGCTGTGCCCAACGTGCGCGTGCGTCAAGGCTACATTAGAGTATAATTCATGATGCACTCTCGGCCGTTTCGCTAGCTCCGCATATACCAAATTTGGTGTTACGTGACGTCAATGGATGA